GTTTCTTCCCTGTCTGCATATTAGTCTGCAAGAAAGAGGCTGGCTTTTTGCTATTCCCGCTGCCCATTTTCCTCCATGGATGACTTCATAAGAAATCCATAGGTTATTCAGACTCTAGGCCTCACCGTAATATGAAACACTATGCATGTATTTTTCATAGAAGGGTTTCCATTCTTCAGAGACCATTTAAAGATGGTGGTTTGGTTTTGGGGGGGAGTTAAACCTTCGGTTTGGAAGTGCCAGATATTTAAAAATAAAGCTTGCTAAACAACTAAAATAGGCATTGAGAAGGAAAACAGAGAGATACTTTGTATACAAGGACTAAAGCTGGTTCTTTAATATTTCTTCTTTTGTCTCATCTGTTTTATTAAATATGGGAAATTCCCCTTTGTTTAGACAATAATCTGGGTAATTCGGGGAGATGAAATCTGAGGTCATTACAAGCCAGCACCTTCTCCACAATTGTCAGAAGGAGATAGATTGTAGGTGAATGGTTGGTAATTGGCCCTGGCTACAGTACTTCTGCTGCTGATTTATATTTCCCAATATTCCTCTCCTCACAGTTTGATGTTTCCCTGCAAGAGCCTTTGATTAAAGAGACGAGCAACTTTGCTGGTTCTATTGATCAGAATAAATTACTAGCTGCTAATTTATGGACCTCACCGTAGTGCCTTTGACGTAGTGGATTGTGCTCTGTTGTTCAGTAAATTGGGTTGTCAAGAAATGTTATTGGTTAGTATACAGTTATCTCTCATAACCATATCAGTCAGCCTCATTGAAATGAACAAAATCTTTCCTACAATTGGTTCCAAGGATATCATGATGGCCCTGAGTTAGGAGGGGAGTTGAGCATTCTTCCTGATGGTAATGCCTGTAGAAATAACATCTCAGGGACTATGTATTTATTTTCCAACCAGTGTTTCTGTTACAGAAAATTGTTTCTTAGACATGCAAGCTCAGGGAATTTTGCTAGTGCCTCACACTTGCAGGTTCAGCTAGACTTGGAAATTCACTGCTTAGCACCACCTTGCCAACAATAAGATTCTGAACTCAGAACCAAGTGAGTGAGCATGTTGAGGATGCTCAGGGCAGAGTAAACAAAAGTCCCTCTTTTTGAAGATGCTGCAGCACTGACAATAGCAAGCTTATTTTTTCATCAATCAGCTAGCTAAACATGACTCATTAAATGCACACGTGTGAGGCAACAGAGGGGTTTTGATACAGCACTATTTTTATAATCTGCTTCCACACTTGAAAGGTATGAATTTCCAAAAGCAAGATAAATGCCTGCAAAGAGTCCTCCTAAGCCAAAACAAGAAAGTAGTGAAACAAATGGACAATTGGAGATGGCTCATGGCTAGGCCTTTGCGCTGGGGATCTCTTTTTTTCGTGTGCAAATTTTAGGTCTGAGACTTAGTATAAGCAAGGAGGGAGGGGAGCAATGATCCATTTGGCTTGCTGATGACATCTTCCCACTGCAGTTTATGCAGATACATTAATTGAATATTTTCAGTTTAAACTCTTGTGCCCATCACTGGGAGCATTTGAGCAAACCTCACTCCTCCCCCCCACCAGGAGAATAATGGAAGTGAATGACCCTGTTCCTTCACAGTGGGCAAAAGGCAGGGTTAAGGAGATCTGGGTTTTCACATGGTTAAACATAGTTGAGCAGGAGTGCTGGCATGAGGATAAAACTGCAGAAGAGATGGGGAGATCAGGTGTTAATGGCATCTAACTCTGAGCTCTTGGAGAGCCCTAGTGGTTCTTGTCACATAGTGTGGGTCCAGTTACTGGGGTCAAGTCCCTGTTTTCCCTGGTTTTGAGCTTCCCTGGCTGCTCCACTGGAAGGGAGCTAGCATGGGTAGTTATAATGACACTGAGAAAGGATCCCTTGGGAAGTTAGGACCAATTCTGTGCAAAGCTTTGAAAGCCAGAAATGTATTTCCAAGACTTGGTTCATTGGGAAGCCCTTGCAGAGAAGTGAATTGTTGTTTGGCTCATAGTTTCATAGTAGCTAGGGTCAGGAGGGACCTGAACAGATCATCTAGCCTGACCCCCTGCC